ACTTGAATAACTTGAATAACTAACTTGAATTGCTTGATTCACTCGATTCGCTAGATTAACTTCAATAACTTCAATAACTTAACTTGATTAACTTGAATAACTAACAAACTTGGATAACTTAAATAACTTGAATAATTATCTTGAATAACTTGAATAACTAACTTGATTAACTTGATTAACTTAACTTGAATAACTAACTTGAATAACTAACTTGATTAACTTGATTAACTTAACTTGATTAACTTCAGTAACTTCAATAGCTTGAATAACTTGAATAACTAACTTGAATTGTTTGAATCATTTGATTAACTTGATTAACTTCAATAACTAACAACTTGATTGGCTTGATTAACTTGAATAATTAACTAACTTAGATAACTTGAATAACTTGAATAACTAACTTGAAAAACTAACTTGATTAACTTAACTTGATTAACTTCAGTAACTCAAGTTAATCAAGTTATTCAAGTTAACTTGATTAACTTCAATAACTTCAGTAACTTGATTAACTTGATTAACTCACTTGATTAACTTGAATAACTAACTTGAATTGTTTGAATCGTTTGATTAACTTCAATAACTTAACTTGATTGACTTGATTGACTTGATTAACTTGAATAACTAACTAATTTGGATAACTTGAATAACTTGATTAACTTAACTTGAATAATTAACTTGAATAACTAACTTGAATCGCTTGATTCGCTCGATTCACTGGATTAACTTCAATAACTTCAATAACTTGAATTGCTTGAATATCTTGAATAACTAACTTGAATCACTTGATTCATTCGATTCGCTTGATTAACTTCAACAACTTGAATAACTAACTTGAATTGTTTGAATCATTTGATTAACTTGATTAACGTCAATAACTTCAATAACTACAATAACTTAACTTGATTGACTTGATTAACTTGAATAACTAACTAACTTGGATAACTTGAATAACTAACTTGAATAATTAACTTGAATAATTAACTTGAATAACCTGAGTAACTTGAGTAACTAACTTGAATTGCTTGATTAACTAACTTGAATAATTAACTTGAATAATTAACTTGAATAACTAACTTGAATAACTAACTTGAATAATTAACTTGATTAACTTGAGTAACTAACTTGAATAACTAACTTGAATCGCTTAATTAGCTCAATTCACTTGATTAACTTGAATAACTTGAATAGCTTGAATAACTTGAATAGCTAACTTGAATCGTTTGAATCACATGAATCATTTGATTAACTTGATTAACTTCAATAATTTTAATAACTTAACTTGATTAACTTGATTGACTTGATTAACTTGAATAACTAACTAACTTGAATAACTTGATTGAATAACTTGAATAATTAACTTGAATAACTTGATTAACTTGAATAACTAACTTGAAAAACTAACTTGAATAACTAACTTGAAAAACTAACTTGAATAACTAACTTGAATCGTTTAATTTGCTCGATTCGCTTGATTAACTTGAATAACTTGGATAACCTGAATAGCTTGAATAACTTGTTTAACTTGAATAACTTGAATAGCTTGAATAACTTGAATAACTAACTTGAATTGTTTGAATCGTTTGATTAACTTGATTAACTTCAATAACTTCCATAACTACAATAACTTCAATAACTTAACTTGATTGACCTGATTGACTTGAATAACTAACTAACTTGGATAACTTGAATAATTAACTTGAATAACTTGATTAACTTGAGTAACTAACTTGAATAACTTGAATAATTAACTTGAATCGCTTGATCCGCTCGATTCGCTTGATTAACTTGAATAACTTGGATAACTTGAATAACTTGGATAACTTAAATAACTTGAATAACTTGAATAACTAACTTGAATTGTTTGAATAGTTTGATTAACTTCAATAACTTAACTTGATTAACTTGATTGATTTGATTAACTTGAATAACTAGAATAATTAACTTGAATAACTTGATTAATTTAATTTGAATAATTAACTTGAATAACTTGATTAACTTCAGTAACTTCAATAACTTGATTAACTTGAATAACTAACTTGGATAATTAACTTGAACAACTTGATTAACTTAACTTGAATAATTAACTTGAATAACTAACTTGAATAACTTGATTAAGTAACTTAAGTTAATCAAGTTATTCAAGTTAACTTGATTAACTTGAATAACTTCAGTAACTTCAATAACTTAACTTGATTAACTTGATTAACTCACTTGATTAACTTGATTAACTAACTTGAATTGTTTGAATCGTTTGATTAACTTGATTACCTTCAATAACTTCCATAACTACAATAACTTCAATAACTTAACTTGATTGACTTGATTAACTTGAATAACTAACTAACTTGGATAACTTGAATAACCTGAATAATTAACTTGAATAACTTGATTAACTTAACTTGAATAACTAACTTGAATAATTAACTTGAATAACTTGATTAACCTAACTTGAATAACTAACTTGAATAATTAACTTGAATAACTTGATTAACCTAACTTAAATAACTAACTTGAATGACAAACTTGAAGAACTAACTTGAGTAATTAACTTGATTAACTTAACTTGATTAATTTGATTAACTTAACTTGATTAACTTAACTTACTTGAATAATTAACTTGAATATTTAACTTGAATAACTAACTCGAATAATTAACTTGATTAACCTCAATGACTTAACTTGATTAACTTCAATAATTTAACTTCAATAACGTCAAAGAATAATACTTCAAATAATTTGTTCGAAATTCCCATTTAGGATAAATGCATTTGCTGTGGGGATGCAGCAGTGGAGATCTGGGTTGGGATTGTGGGGTGGCTTTGGGCTCAGATTAAAAAACATCTTTGGGTGCCCCTGCTGGATTTTGGGTTTCAGAGGATATTTTTTTGGGAGTTCAAACCTCTCATTACAGTCCTGACCAATTTCCCCTCTCCCCACAGCCAAGAACATTTTCCGGGTGCGTTTCCAGGAGGCCGGAGCSGGCCAGGCTCACACGCTGCAGGCCAACGACGTTTTCCACAAGCAGCAGTGGCTCAACTGCATCCGCAGCGCCGTGGCTCCGTTCCGCGGAGCTCCGCCCGGCCCCGAGCTGCCGGAGCTCCGCGAGGAGGCCGAGGAGAACGACCCCTCCGCGCCCAAGCTCCGCGCTCCRAAGCGCCCGGCGCGGAGCTCCGCMGTGGAGCCGGATGAGAGCGCGGCGCGGAGCTCCGCCGTGGAGCYGRATGAGAGCGCGGCGCGGAGCTCCGCCGTGGAGCCSMATGAGAGCGCGGCTCGGAGCGGCTCCGTCCCGGACTCCAAAACGCTCCGATCGCACAGAACCTCGGCCGGCCACAGGAAATCCAGGGAGAAGCAGCGGAAAGAAACGCTGGTGTAAGGAAAAAGAAAACCAAAAAAAAACCAAAAACCAAACCCCGGTGTCACCATGGGGGAAAACTGTTAATTTATAAATAATTYCCTGTACATTTCTGGGTTTGTGTTGGAATGGCAGCTACTGGTGTGTGGTCACTGTTGAATTGGGGTTTGTTTTTTAAGTTCAGAAATCCTGGTGGTGAATTCGAGCAGGAAATTGGGATTCCTGAAAGTTTTTCAGTGGTGGAGGTTGGGAAAGAATAAAGCGGAATTTTGGGCAGCAAAAATTTGGGGGTTTTCACCCCAAAAAAATCCTTTAAAGGACTTGACACCTGAAGTCACTGTGGTGTGCGGTTATGGGAATTCCTGCACATTTGCACGGTAAAAAAGGAAAAAAAAAATCCTAAAAAAACAGACCCCAAATTCAACAGGTTCTCAATTCACCTACTGGAATCTTTGATTTTGTGTGTCCTTTGTACATTCCTCAGTCTCACTCTTGTATCCTGCCAACTATTTAATTATTTTTTTTATTATTNGCTGAAAGAGAACTGCGTTACTCCAGGGTGTAGGAACGTTGTAGGAACGTTGTAGGAACGTTGTAGGAATGTTGTAGGAATGTTGTAGGAATGTTGTAAAGGGTTTGGGGAGGGCAGAGAGCAGCGAGTAGAGGGGTAGAGGCAGTGGAGGTAGATTTTGGGGTTTTTTGTTGCCTTTTTGGAAATGAAAGGTTTCCCGACGGGGAGCGCGATGGGAGGCGACCGAGGGGTTCGTGGACGTGGTGGGAAGGTCAAGGAGAGGAGAGGAGAGGGAGTGAATTGTCAGAGTGTGCCAGGGGGCCAGGGATCCGGGGAAAAATCCAGGAAAATCTGGGAAAAGTCCAGGGAAAAGCCAGAGAAAATCTGGGAAAGATCAAAGGAAAATCCAGGGAAATAGGGAAAATCCAAGGGAATATGCAGGGAAAATCCAGAAAATATCCAGGGAAAATCCAAGGAAAGATCCAAGGAAGATCCAGGGAAAAAATCCAGGGAAGATCCAGAGAAGAAATCCAGGGAAGATCCAGGGAAAATCCTAGGAAAATCCATGGAAAAGGCAAGGAAAGATCCAGGGAGAGATCTAGAGAAAATGCAAGGAAAGATCCATGGAAGATCCAGGGAAAAAATCCAGAGAAGATCCAGGGAAAATCCAAGGAAAATGCAAGGGAAGATCCAGGGAAAATCAAAGGAAAATCCAGGGGAAACCCTGGGGAAATCCAGGGTAAGATCCAGGGAAAATCCAAGGAAAGATCCAGGGAAAATCCGAGGAAAATCAAGGGGAAATCTGAGAAAAATTCAGGGCAAATCCAGGGAAAGATCCAAGGAAATATCCAGGGAAAATCCTGGAAAGATCCAGCAAAGATCCAGGGAAAATCCAGGGGGAAATCCAGGGCAGACCCAGGGAAAATCAAACGAAAATCCAGGGAAAATGCAAGGAAAGATACAGGGAAGATCCAAGGAAAGATCCAGGACAAATCCAGTGGAAATCCAGGGAAAAATCAGGTTTGGAAGCAGCGCCGCAGAGCATTGTGGGAAACAAAGCGGTGACAGCTCTGAGCGCAGCGGGTGTGGTGTCCCTGTGCAGCGATCCCAAAATCCCTGAAATCTGGGATTGGGGAATGG